CAACCAACCAGTTGAAATGTTGTATGCAACACAGTTAACAGGTTCACAATGGGTGTCTACTACGTTTACTGTACTGAAATACATGGAAGGCTTTGCAATTAGGACTGAACTAGGCTGAGTTGTTCGTGAGGGCAACAAGTAAAATACATTTGGCGATGAAGGGGAAAACTTCCAAGTAAAATATTGCACAAGACTGTAAAGGGTCGTCATTTATTGTTGATGTAAAACACCAATAAACTCAACGAGCTTCCCCCATTTTTGTTTTATCAGCCAGGAACTTTGACCTTTGTACCCAGAGTTATGGGTTGGTGGAAACACTGTGAACAGCAAATCCTTGCCTGTCGCGGAGGTTATGTTCTTTAAAAATATATCTGCTATTGGTAAATCTGCGATAGGCAAAGTCAACGACAATGGGAACACTGGCAATTGGTTCATGGTTCGTAAAACGACACCCCTCTCATTTCCTTTCATGGGATCAACCCAGACATTAAACATTAAGTATTTTGAATGTAAACTCTGATTAATATTTTCTCGTGTTAAATACATATTGTATGGTACATGTATAGAATGAAATAAAAAGAAGGAATATAGCGTCTGTACACTAGAGAAAGAAAAATCGTGGGCGGCTGAACCTCCACCGCCTCCTCGCTGTGGGCTGGGAACACCGCGTGTCCTGAGAGCCGCAATGGGTCTCTGCAGATTCTCATGACAAAATTCTCATGACATGGCTGTCACTCCTTCCCCCATTCATTCATTTAATTCATCATAATTTACTGTCAATTATTAGGATTTTACCAAATTCATGCATCAAAGATTTGCCCAATGCTTCCCATCATATATTTCATTTACCCTATCTCCATCATTACATTCATTGGTTAAGGCGCCGTATAAACTATGTAAAAGCAGGCTTGAGCCTGGACGTAAACGCAACGTCAGTAACAGAGCAGGCAGTTATAAACGAAGTGCTGCATGGCGCCACGCTATCAAAAATAAGTAAATATGCAAACTATACCACGAACCACATTCGTTTACAAATCTACAGAACCAACCCAACTAAGATATGTATAATTGGGAGGACGTGATCAACCAGGTAAAGTGTTAACTGTTTACTTAGCCGACTCTCTGAGTTGAATTGCATTTCTAAGTTTGCTAAATTTGATGTCTCAGCTTCTTTTTCTCCCTCTCACCTAAGACGATCGCATCACCTCACTCTCTTCCGCACGTTCCCTCTTTGGATTTCATCCCCACCCTCTTGCCCATTGCAGCAACCCCCTCCCTCCACCTCTTGGACCTATATAATATCTCGTCACAGCAGCTTGTTTCTCTCTCACCTGAAGACGATTGCTTGTTGCTATCGAAAGGTCGTGATTTATTTCATTTCATACCTACGTGACTTTACTGAAAGAACCAAAGAGTATTTACAACATGAGTAATCGTGTCACCTTCTGCGTTGGAGAGTGGTCCATACTTTTGTGTTATCCCGACTCGACTACTGCAACGCCTTACTGGTTGAGATACCGAGCAAAGTACTGGGCAGACTCCAGCTTGTTCAGAATGCAGCTGCGCAAATGCTTACACGTGAGCACATCACACTAGTCCTCTTATTTCTTCATTGGCTACCAGTCAAATTCCAAGTGGATTTTAAGATACTGCTATTAACCTATATGGCTTTAAAAGGGCTCACCCCACATTACTTGCAGGAACTAATGAATGTATATGTTCCATTAATATCCTGAAGATCTTCTGATCTCCAACTGCTCGGCACTCCCAGGTCTAGGTTGCGCTCTTTTGGTGATCGGGCTTTTGTTATCATGGCACCCAAATTATTGAAAACTTTGCCACTTGAGGTGTGGAAATCAGAGTCGGTTGAAATATTTAAGTCTGCTTTGAAAACCCATCTCTTTAAAGTGGCCTTCCCTCTTTCGTTTGGTCGGTTGCCCTGGTTCTGTTTTTGTTTCCTGATCCTAGTATGGAATGCACATTATGCATTGAATTATTATTATTTATAGCATTGTCGATTCCTCTTGGCGAGATCCATACCGGCAATGTTAATATTCGATTTGATTGAGCATGATCAGGATAGCAGAGTATAAATTCCACACACGTATTAAGACTTCACTCCATATATCAGGAAATCGATTCCGGTTTATAGCCCGTCTGTTATTGTTTCTTCTTGGCGAGATCCATATCCACAATGTTAAAATTCGATTTCAATACGGTAAATAGAAGTCGAAGAGAATCGATTCTGCCTACCTGTAGTGACGTCATTATATATTATAGCAGTGAAGTGAATCGATTCTGGTTAATAGCGTGGTCGTTGTCGATTCCTCTTTGGGAAATCGATACCCACATTTTTAATATTTGATACGATTGAGTGTGATCGGGATATCAGAGAATTGATTGCACACACCTGTGATGACGTCAGTACATATATCAGGGAATCGATTCCGTTTTTTAGCATGGTTGTTATCGATTCCCGGTACTGTGGGCGCACCATTCGCAGGACAAAGGGTGAGGGGTGGATGCGATGCCAGTTTGGCAGGAAAAGGGATGGTCTCAGATGGGCTGGACCATAGTGATGGACACTTGCTATTGGGACCGGGTCAGAAATGGTGGAGGACGTGGAAAAGTACCGACTAGATATAGCCGGTCTCACTTCCACACACAGCATTGGCACTGGAATAAACTTCTTGATCGGGGTGGCCTCCTATTCCGGAGTGACCACTGGTGAGAGGACCCGAGCGGGTGTAAGGATACTCACAAGCCCCCAGCTGGGTGCTGTTCAGTTGGAGTTTGCCCGAGTGGATGAGAGTGTCCCCTCAATGAGACTTCGGGTCTCAGAAAGGAAAACTCTGATTGTTGTCTGTGTTTATGCGCCAAGCAGCGGTTCATAGTATTCGGCCTTTTTGGAGATGGTGGGTGCACTGCTAGACAGAGTGCCGTCTACCGGTTCCACAGTCTTACTGGGCGACTTCAATGCTCACGTGGGAAATTATGGCGATACCTGGAGAGGCATGATTGGGAGGAATGCCCCCCCTGATCTGAACCCGAATGGTGAGATGTTATTGGAATTCTGCTCTAGTCGAGTGTGAAGCAGCTGAGATGAGGATCAGTACCTCCAAATCTGGGTCATGGTTCACTCACGGGATACGGTGGATTTTTCTCCCCAGGGAAGGGGGGAACAGCTGCCCTCAGTGGAGAAGTTGAGTGATGGTGAGTGGGAGCGTGATATTGGCTGGCGGATTGGTGTGGCGCCCGCTGTGTTGCGGGCACTGTACCATTTTGTGGTAGTGAAGTGGTTTACAGGTCGATCTACATTCCCACTCTAACCTATGGTCATGAGTAAGTAAGTAAGAAGTAAGTAAGCGCATTTGATATTGTGCAGTCTTATGAGTCCAGTCCATCACGAATGTGCATTGATCACACATTGAAGTAGGCTCTCTGAAACAACACTGTTTTGAGTCTGTTGCAGAACTGGCTCAGACTCAGCGATGGATCCGGAACATGATCCTTGGGTAATTGGTTTCTCACCAGGGTTGCCAGGTTCACTCTCCGTGATTGGGTAAGGAGCTCGGTGATCGGGTAAGGAGCTCGGTAATCTGGGAGAGCCTCAGAGTCAAGCTGCTGCTCCTCCGGATTAACAGGAGCCAGTTGAGGTGGTTCGGGCACCTGGTTAGGATGCCCTCCGATAGACTCCCTATCGGAGTCCCGCCAGCATGTCCCCGGACACGCTGGCGGGACTGTCGAGCTAGAGTACGTGTCTAGTAGTATATAGTAATGTAGTGTATTGTGTAGCGTCTAGTATAGTAGTGTATAATAGTGTATTGTATTGCATATAAGTGTAGTGTATAGCAGTGTGTAGTGTAGAGTACAGTGTAGTGTATAGTGGCGCATGATAGTGTAGTGTATAGTAGTGCTGGAGTCCATTGCCAGGGAAAGGGAGGTCTGGACTACCCTACGCAACATGCTGCCGCCATGACCCTCACCAGGACTAGCGGATTGAGAAACGAACGAACAAATACAAATTGACCCTGCTTATGCCTCCAATGAGTCGTTAATACTCGGCAGGGGATAAGTACCATCAAAAGTCACCTGATTTAGGTGGCTAAGAACTAAGCAAAACCTCAGTGAACCATCGGGCTTCTTCACAACAACCACCAGTGGGCCTTAGTGGCTGGTAGAGGGAGAGGTAAAATCTACTCCTTGAAGAATTGTTCTAATAAATACACAATCCTTGATTTAGACTTACAAGTAATGCGGATTCTTAAACCTGATGCTGTGGATTATTTAAAAAGCAAGGCAATTGAACTCGAAGAACTATGCAAATAGAATACAACTCTCTTTGGAACCTTTTTTTTCCAAAACAGAACCCAACGTTCCCCACATTCCTTGGCATATCTTCACTATTTTGATCGTAAATTTTGATTTAAAGCTTTCGTGACTGCAGTAATTCATATTCTTAGTTTTTTCGGTAAAGTCACGTTGAACGTTGAACGTGACTTTACCGAAAAAACTAAGAATATTTTGATCTTATTCTTAGTTTTTTCGGTAAAGTCACGTTGTTTCTCTTCAACGTGACTTTACCGAAAAAACTAAGAATATGAATTACTGCAGTCACGAAAGCTTTAAATCAAAATATTTTGATCGTCTCATTTTTTACATTTTTTCAATTGTCCCTTGGTGTGTTTTGTATTTCGTGTTTGTCTTGTTCACCACTTTGAAATGCTGCTTTCATTAAAACACAAAATATGTTAATATTTGTATGCTTATAAATGTATTGATTAAAACCGATAGTTATGGCCCCAATAAAACATTGAATTGTGACTTTGAAAACATATTATGTTAAACTTATATGTTTTGTATCTATTTGCACAACCACTATATCATGTTCATGCTCCGAAACATACAAACAGGTATTAATTCATAAAATAACTGACCTCTTCAGCATTATACAATCAAGATTAGCTAAACAAAAAAATGCGACATCCAAACAATCCTTAGTTCATTGGTTGTTGCAATACCAACCATATTATTGAAATCAGATTCTTATTGCCACAAAATATAAGATGCACAGATGGCAAATATCATATGGCAGATAGCAAAGCACTATGCCAACACTCCACTTCGTAAATATGACAAGATGTACATATATATTCCTGTATTGTATTCAGATAGTATCATCTTACTCTATGTATATATAAAGTTGCATGCGATCGAAAATAACTCAAATTCCAGAACACCTCCCAATTGCTCACGCACCTTATCTACAATGACCAAATTGACAATAGATGTAATTAACTTAAAGTTGTTAATGAAGTAAAATATGAAGCTTCGTGTAAAATAATTATATCAAAAGTCAACAATTTATGTTGTCTTTGGAAGCGGTTGGCAGTTGTAGAACTTGATCTTTCCACTCGTCCACCCTTCTGAAGCATTTGTCAGCAATGATGCCACTTTTATTAGTTGCTTTTATGAATCCATCTCTGTCGTCTTGTTCATCGCCTTCCATGTCCCTTCAAAGTGACGTCTTCCTGCCGCCTGTATTGCCAACAATGCCCAGAGGATGAATCTGTTGTTCTACTTATTGATCTCAGCCTATTCGTTGATATTTAATAGAACTCTGCATTTGTCGTTTTCTTGATCCAGCTTCCACTCATTTACATTTTAAAGTTGTTTGCTTTCGTCCATTGATATTGATCGTGTTACACTTAATATGCAGTTTTTTCCATCTTCATGCTATGCAAATTGTGGTGTTAAAAATAATGTAGACTTTGCAATAACTGACAATGGATCTGGAAGAGAGGGAGATGAGTAGGCAGCGTGGACAATATTTGCTCCTATGCTTATCTGAAAATCACCTAAAACATTATAATGCTCAAGTCATACAGCCTATTGACTTCGATGCATCAAACCTAGAAATGTTATTAATTGTATGCAAAACTGTTACTATTTCTTCACATTTACCAACCTGTATGATTATATGTCCACGTATGAAAATGTTGGTATCGTCATTATCATAAGTTACTGGACGTTTGGCTTAAAAAAAGCAATAGCACTGCTATAAATACTCATTTATATATATAACAGATTATTCGTGACAATGGCCCTTTTTCATAGCACATAAACAGAGGCCATAGATATAGAGTGGATAAGAGTTGAAGATTACGAATGTGAGTTTTGTTTACTTAACTTGTAATGTCGTAGGTGTGGCCAGTGATGTATCAACCGATTCCACCTTTATCAGTCTCTTGTGATCTACATGTATGCCTTTGATATTTACGTCTAAGGCACGATGTTGATCATTGGCCACCCTCTCTTAACTTCGACTGTGCCCTAGAAAATGTGGTTAAAAAGTTCCTCTGGGCTTCGACAGATATTTCACAGTATGCTGCCAACCTTACTGTGACTTGGATACTTTGTATCATGACATAATTATTCGAATAAAAGTTCCAAAATCAATAGGGTCACAATGCACATCTCTCCAATATCTTTACCTCAACATGAACATTAAACAAATATTTTTTCACATCCCATTAGCGACACGACATTTTGGAAGCACATCATTTCAGCAACATTGATATTGGAGGGAGTCATTGGCTGTCTGTTTGTGTTACTCAGTTTAACACGGAGGTTTTCGCGACCAATATCATCCATAAATAGAGGTTTTTGGGTTAGAGCGTGTAAGTGTGTGTTACTGTTTGCAAATAAGTTGCTAAATAGTTATGTTGCTGATTGTATTGACTGGTTCCATTTGATGAGTTTCCTAACAGTCTCAAGAGCTTTCTTCTGTTTCTGTCGAGAAAAAATAGTTTTTCAGTTCTGACAGGATTGTTTAGTGGATGATTGATCATTGTATCGTCTTCTCCATCAGGTCTCTTGGATTTCAAATTCCATGACTAATCACTTTGGTACATGCCCCCCTTAGTCACTCATTGCTGTTTAAACTCCCAAGCCTTGTTAATAACATATTTTGGCTCTTTATTGTGATATTACATGACCGTAACTTAATGTAGCACTAACATTAGTCATGGCGCAAACCTTATTGAAATAATTGCTTAATATTCTACCTTTATCTGTCGGCTGTAGAGTTTGTCCAAGTCATATCTCGCTCTCGTGCTCTTTTCCCTGAAATTCTTTCTGAGTTTGATTGTGACCATCATCATGATTAAGCCACCGTCATCACTTCCAATGTCTGCCCCAGAGAAATATCCACTCTTTTTATTTGACCAAAAATGGTTTGACATTCGTGTATCGTCAGTCCAGTAGTGAAATGCACCACAACATGAGTGCTACGTTGATCTTCTTGATTATTTGTGGGGGTGAATGGTGTTGATCAGTACAATGTTGTTTAATTTTGTAAATTCTAAGAGCCTTGTAAACCCCGCTAATTTTTGTGTCTCATTTGGTGCCTTTCCAGTCATTGGAAGCATTTGTTGCGATTATAGAATTACAGTACCCTGAGGTTTGCTGAAATTGTGTTGTATTTACTCACATGTGTTATTGTTGGGTCTGAACGTATAATTGGAGAGCAAACGAGTTAATTGTGCGTAATGGTGATATCATTATTTTAATGGAAAAAATAGCATTCAGCAAGACAGAATTGCTGCTGCAAAGGGAAATAAGCAGCAAAGAAGAAGTTACTGGTAAAGATGTTTCAACATTTACTTAAATGTTACATTTGGCAGATATCCATGCTGAGAACGGAATACTTGATAATATTGGAACCTTTTCAGCTTTGGATTTGACTTCAACTGGCCATATGCTATCCCATGGAAATATAGTATTATGCTCATGATGAAGCAATTTTGGATGAACATAAAAGTCTGAAAAGAACGATCGTGAGAGGCAAAATACCTGTCTTGGGCATTCATGAGAGGGGATGGGCAGGTGATTAAAGCTCTAGAAGAGAGCACCCAGGGGAGAAGGTTCTGCATCATGAAATAGGGGTCCGACACCAACATGAAGAAGAAAGTGCAAGGCTGGTGAGTATTTGTGGGAACTAGAAGCACACATTTACTATTAAAACATGCAATATTGATTTTAGATTTCAATTACAAATGTTAAAGTAGAAACACAATTTAATATTAAGCACGCAGTTAGCTGATGTGTAATTTACCATTTTCATTGACATTTCTATTCTTAATTTTGGATTTACATTTGAAGTGCATCACAAACAAAATGCACGTTTAAACAAAACAAGGGTATAGAGGAATAAACACATTGTAAATGATTGTAGATATTTCTTTATGGATTACTTAAAAAGATGCATATATTTATTTTGCGCGAAAATATTCACGTCTAAGGCAGATGATCAGTTTACTATAACATCCACAATGTCTCAAGTTAAATGTATGTCCATATGCATGCATGTAACGACCGTTAAATGACATGCCATTTTAGAGATGTTCCTGTTTGATGATGAATTTTGTTCGTTATTATTAATAACATAAAAATGAAAATCTTTCAGACTTTGAAACAGAGCCACATATTCATAAGTTCATCTGTGACATAGGATGCTTATTTGTAGTTTTATTAACCTACAGTTTCTCTAAATCCTCAATAACATCATGTTCTTTAATACATTCCCAATCTGATGGAATTTTTCCCAGCGCTGCAAATTTTAGGTTATAGCGCTTTTCTAAGTTTGACTTGAACTTGCAGACAAACCATTTCCAATATGGCTGTGTGGTTAAGTCTGGTGTTATGCTCCAACAAGCATAATTTGGCCCGGCTGTACGATAATCCTTCCATGGTATTTTTCTGTCTGGAAACACTATGCTGCAGTTACTGGCAACTAAACTAGTGCAGATGTCGGTGACAAAGTGATCAGTTTCATGCCAATGTCCTCCACGTACTGCCCTGGGGCGGTGAATGGGAACACTGTGGTCTCCTTCATGATTGGACATCGTGTTTGTGCAGATGGCTTTACAGAACGGGCACTGCACCCAGCACCCACATAGCTGCCGAAATAGTATTTCGTGAGGTTCGTTCTGAACGTTTTGTAAATCATTTAAGCATGCTGAAGAAAATTTATCTTTTAAGCCTTGAACCACGGTTTTTAGTCCGTTTGTTAATTCTTCTTTAAGAAATTCAATATCCGTTATTTCTTTGTAGTCGCCTTTGTCCAAAGTTTGTCTTGGGAGCTTGATGACGTCATCAAGCTGTGTGCAAAATGCATCCAGCCATGAAGATGCATCATACTCGTTTTCTTGTACCATTTCAGTTGCTTTATTAATTGCACGAGTAATTGCAGCTGTGGAATCCCCAAGACTTGACTTTAACATCTCATAAATTATTTCATTATCGTTTTCCTTGCAATACTCTTTTACACGTTCCGTAATGTATTTCTCAAAGTGGTGTTTTGGATGGTGAATATATTCATCAAATGCATTAAAATCTTTCTTCTTCGCTAAATCTATGAGAATGTAGTTTTCTAATTTTGATCGATTTCCGTTGAATGCCGGAAATGTGGACTTCATCCTGCCTGCAATGTCAACACAAACTTTATCATAAACTGCCTGTTGAATGGATGTTTTCAGTTTGTTACACAAAAAATCCACAAAAATAGCTGTGGATGTTGAGCCTTGGCAGCGAATTTTGAAGCTGTTGAAGTATTCTTCTTTTTTACTGACGAAGTATACTAATGGGTCATTTTCCCTCTGGAAATTCTCATGCATTTTCTGAAATCGCCCTGTAACCGCTGCCAATATGTGGACAGATAAATTAATTTTGAACTTATCTGTGAGCATAAATCTTTTATTGGATTGTGAAAATTCTTGTATTTCTGAATTAATTACCTCTAAAATTTCATATATGTAGGATGAATTGAAATTCGTTTTATGTTTCTCTTGGGTGGTAATGCATCTATTGACATTGAATTTTATGTCAGTAATTAATTTTTTAATTGACTCCATATCCTCATCTTTGAAATGGTGACTCCGACTTCCAAGCCATTTCGTGCCCATCATAATGTGTTCGTTTTGATTAACGTAAAATTCTGTCCCTATGTGATAGTGACATATCGCTGTTTGTAGGTGTTTAATTTGATTCTCATTAACTTCGTAAAGAAGGTTTTCAATTTGTGTTTTTACATCAAGTGTTGCAGGGCTGGTCATACTGTCTTTTATCACTTTAATCCACTCCTGCCAGATTTTATCAAAATGCCTGTCCCATTGTCCGTCATTTACATTTTTGTCTCTCAATTTTGAAGCCAAATCCTTGCTCTTTCTAATAAGCTGATCTTCGTAACTTGATCTCTGTAGATCGAGATTTCGTTTTTTGTCTTTTTGAGCCATCAGGGCTGTGTAGTTTTTGTAAGCATCAGACAATAGCTCTTCTTTCACTGTTTCAAATCCTTTTTCAAATTTAACTTTCCATTGAACCAACATTTCCGCATCATCTGCGCTATTGAAATGTTCTTCCATTTTATTTTTAATATCCTGATAGTTTGACAAAATTCTTAGTTCAATCTGTGATCGTGTCATAGCATCTGTATTGTTATCAATGCTGTTATAGAGTTTGTTTTCCTGCTGAAGAACATCACTCCTGAGTTCCCAAGTCCATTTTCCATACATTTCTTCCAGTTTGGTATAAGCTGCAATCTCTAATGTGTTCTTAAAGCTGAAAACGAAGTTTTCTGCAAGCAAAGCCGTCCATAGATCCTTAATGCGTGCTTTGAATTCTGATATCTTCAAGACGTTGACTGTTTTTTCTTTTTTCGCATTTCTAAGTAACATTTCTTTAAGGTCTTTAATATTTTGGCAGTAGCTTGGATTTGGCGGAGCCATCGGAGGGTCTCCCTCCCAAAGATGAGCAAAGTAACGGATCTGAGAGTTCACGTCAAACCTGATAACCGCATCAAATGATTCAACAGCGCACTGCTCCTGGGCTGCAGCCATGCGGGTCATCTCATCAAGTTTCTCCTGAAAGCGTCTCCTTCCCTCCATGTTCTTATTGTGAGCAGTCACATCCCCTACGTTTTGATGGACAAACACACAGCTCGGTGATAACTTGACCTGCCTCATTCTCAGAAATGCCTGCACAGCAATTTGTAGAATGTCTTGCATTTCAGAAGGGTTCTCTCCAAAAATGTTGATCACGGTCATGTTTCCCAGCCCAATCACAAACGTTGCCAGCTCATTGTCATGACTATGTGTTGCATTTGACAGCTCTACAGAACGTAGTCCTTCTGTGTCGACTATCAGCACAAAGTCATATCCCAGCTGTTTACTGAACTCTGCCTCCACCTTCACTAACTGCATGTAGGCTCCTTGGGTGCATCTCCCACTACCAACAGGAAACTGGAGACCAAACATGGCATTAAGTAGCGTGGACTTTCCACTGCTCTGTATTCCCAGTATTGAGATTACAAACAGCCTCACGTTCCCAATTTCATTAATGATTCCATCCAAGATTGAGCTAATCCAAATGAGAGGGACATGTGCAGCATCACCATCCATGAGTTCAAGGGGAAATCCAGAGATCATCATTTCTGCTGCGATCTTTGACAAAGTAGCTGGGAGTTTTTCAACTGATGGCGTTGTCTGTGAAGCTTCGTAGATCTGACCAACTTCCCTAAAAACGTGATAAATTCCAAAGGAAGAGGCATCAAGTTCTTCTGATATTTTATCCAACTCTGATTGTTTTGCAGCAATGGTAGTCGTGTTAGAACCTTGTTTTTTCAATTGTATTATTGCTGTCCAGACCTGATGATAAGTGAGATTAAGTTGTGATAAGCGATCTGCAGACATATTTTCTAAGTATATGCGTAGCCAATGCATAAAGTATGTTTTTACTGTGCATGACTTCTTGGTCAAAATTATGATCAATGATCTCATAAAATCGTTAAGAGGAAATGCTTTTTCAAGCTGTTCTTTCCTAATGAGTGTTTTTTCCATTGAAATATTACTTTTGTGTTCCTCAACACTTAGGCCCCCCTTTACCTTCATGCGAGTCAATTCTTTGTCTTTCTTGCACCACGACTGCCACAATTTTCCTTGAAGAGGCAAAAATGTCTCCTTTATGGAACACAGCGGCTTGTTACTTATAAGACTCAGCAAAACTTTCGCCATATCCTTGCCCTCTAAACATTGTTTATCATCTTCATCAACAATGAAGCCATACTGTCTTGCAATATCTGAGCAAGCTTCGATATTAATATTTCTTTTTGAATTGTCTAAATAGAATTTTATTATTGACGTCAATTCATCAATTAACTCAGCCTCATTTCGATTCCCGACAGCAATTTTCGCGTTTGTTCCAGATACTCCACTGGAAACTCTCTTATTGTCAGCACAGAGGCAAACTAGCGGCTTTGGGGAACTCAAACATTCGTCTAAGATGCGTTTACCTTCTTCATTGCGATCACCATCTGACAGTAATATCACATTTATAGACGATATCTCATGTAAAAATTGCACCTGTGTTTTGTGTTCTCTTGCATCTCCGTGGAGATTAGTGAATGCTATGCAGTCATTAAATACATCATCGTCCTTGCCACCTGGAAGATACCAGGCGATCTCTGCAACTCCTTTCATTAGTTGACCATTCCTGCTGCTGCCTCGGCAGTGCCTATGAAAGAAAACTTCATGCTTTTGCTTGCCGAGCAGAGAATTCATTATCTGAGATTTTGATGTGGGTGATTCACCAAATCTTACGAAGGACACGAGTGCAGTGTTGGCATCACTGATTGCACAGTTTTTAGATTTCCATTTTGTGGTAGATGCATCACGGTATTTCCAGCTTTTTTTTATCTGTCTGAATGACCAGATAGGGAATTCTATTTCTGAACAACAAGGATTTGGAACTAATAGCGGAAGTGCGAACTGGATGAATGAAAGTTTGGTGAAAATGTACTGCCTTACAAAATTGTCTCCACAATGGAATATTGCCATTTGTAAATCCATAGGGTGAATGTGGGTTTCAGTGTTTGTACTAGGGCTATCCCTGTTATTTATTATGTCATCATCATTCTTATCATCAGAAAAGAAGTTATCACTATTAGGGCTTTTATGTGTATACGTGGACTGAGATAAGTTGTTTAATTTACCTTTGTTTAGATTGTTACACTGAAAACTAACACATCTTGCTCGATAGTCAATCATCATCAGTTTTTGCAGATAAGAAAGAGCAAGTTCTTGTTCTGTGCATCGATCAGGGTTAGTTTGAATTGGAGACCTGTTGACAACACATACATCACTTGTGTGTAATTTCTTAGGGTAGTAGTTTATCAGTGCGAGTCTTTCAAGCAGATTCAATAACTCTTCATTATTTTTTCGTGGTTGAATTGATGGTTTATTTTGTAATTCTTCTTGCCTTAAAGTTCCAACGATAATGGATTCCAGCATCATATCAAGTTTATTCCAGTCAGTTGGCCTTATTTCACTGCATTTAATCACATGGGAAACTTCAGCACACATTGTTGCTTCGATCTGGGATCTCATGAAATCGAACTGTTTTTGCTTTTCGGCAGGAGTTCGTGCATTAGACAAACCTGTCCGTAACACGTATGCCTGAGCTCTGGATTTGTCTTGTTCCATCAGTCTTGAGTACTCTCCGTAAGCGGACTCTAGTGCACGTTGAAGATGATCAATGTTGTCGTAATTCAGGGGATGCTGAAATCGTTTTTCTTTTACACAGTAGCCAACAGCAGAAGCTACTGAAATGATGAGTAGCTCTTGTTCGATGAGTTTTGTTGTTCTCAGTGATTGGCATAATGAATTAAATGAATGTGTGATTTCTTTGTTTTTTTCATGTATTTCTGAATAAGTTGGTGAAAAGTCAACTTTTAAATGTTCTTCTGCTTTTGTTAAGATGTTCACAAGATCTATAAATTCAGATAAATGATTAGGGACTCTTTCATACTCATTCAGCCACTGCATAATGGAGGCGAATTGTGGAAAGCTGTTAACTTCACAACTGTTTGGCTCCATAATAGAGCGCATAAGCTTTTTGATTTTCACCGTTTTGGCAGGTGCTGTAACAAGATTTGACAAAAATGATTGAAAGGCTGGGTGAGACAAACAGGTGTTTATCCAAATTAAATTGCTTTTCGTTTCATCATATAACGTCTGTTTCAAATCAAGTATCTTTTCTAAATTATATTCCATGTCGGATTCTTGCCACTGTTTAATATCTTGCATCACTGACCTGGCTTTAGCATTAGCAGAGACCAATTTATCCTCAAGACCAAAATTTGGATTTTGGTTTGTCAAAAGTGTGTATGCCTCCTTGAGCCTGCTAGCTATCAAGGTATTTTTAAAGTAATCCTTGTGGTTAAACGTGACAATGTCCCACACTGGAACCAATGATGTGCCTAGATCAATGACAGTCCACGTCTTGGTGTTCGAGACAATGTCAGTTTTCCATTGTTGAAAAGAACAAATGCCAGGTGATCCACCTATTGTACCTACGGAAATTGTCACCTTACTAAGAGGTGTAGCATTGTATTTTTCGGAAAATTCCGTTGTAAATTCGGATGCCATCATGCTATCACCACCACCACCACAGCCACTGCTGTTGTAGGCAGAAGTGGAATACCTTTCCACTGCCTCCGATAGCATATTTCTTTCTTCCTTTTCCTCATCTGAGCTGATGCCCTCTGCTGATGCTTTCCACTTAAATATCCCACCAAAGTGGACAGGGCCTGTATGGGCATGAGAGCCAAAGTTCTCAAAAAAACTTCCAAACCTGCTGCTTAGCACGCGCGTTTTAAAAGACTCATTGACGTTTTTTAAAGTGTTTTCAATGCTTTGTAATTCCTCCAATGCCTCATCAGACAGCTTGAGTTGATCAAAGTTCAGACTTCCTGAGGCAAGTGGTAAGTACAGGTATTTGACGCTATGAATGCAGGTATCCGTGGGATTTTTTTGTTGCTTTTTTTCAGTGTGTAATGCCTTGCTATGCCGCGAGGTGATTTCTTCATTCAAGGCCTGTAAGAAACCTTCTTCTGTCGTTATGGTATTGAATCCCAATTTTTCCACTGCTGTCTCAAATATGTTTTCCTCTTCAGAGGATGAAAACTCTTGTTGCTTTATCATCGGTTGATGTACTGGCCCAGCAAGATCAAACGACATTGGGATGTTTAGGAGTTTGCCTCTTTTCTTTAACATATCGTTTATTTGACCAGTTCGATACACCCCCTCCAAAACAAGTCCTTTAGATGCATATTGTAAAAGACTTATATGTGATATTGTTCCACGTAAAGTTGAAATGTCTGATAAATCTAACTGCTTTAGATAAGTGTTTGCCATATCAGTGGAATGGTTGCCATCACGCAATGGGTTTTCTTTTGCTCCTTTCAATTCCATTCGCTGCTCTGTCTCAGTCTCTATGTTAGAATTATCACTGCGAGTTAATATTTTCTGATGGATTTGTTCTGGATGCTGCTTTGTTGGTGTATCTTGCTCCTGTTTATTTCCAATTGGCTCACATTGTTGTGATTGTTTTAAAATAACTTCATTGCCAGACATTTTCATTAACTTACACAATGCCTTTTTCTCCCATGAATGCCGGCAATGTGGTTCTATGATTTCAAATTCCTCAGGGCCACAATATTGCAATGCTTGTACATTGGTGATACACAAAATATCTCGTAGTTTTGTAATCCAAAAAGTTGTATTAAGACCTAAGTCTGTAAGTACTTTGGCAAGCTCATCTTGAGCTTTAATGTCGTGGTCCTCCTCTTCAGACATAGCCTTGAATACACACATAGACCGTCCTTAATTAGTAATACAACATTTAACAATAATACAAATCAAGTTATAATTCAGTTGAATATTGAATTTTGTTTTAATAATGAGCATAACAAATATTCAGACGAATAACCGAAGTTCATCACCTATTTTAATGTCAAACATCTGTGATAAATATTAAATTAAGTATTTCCAAATACCTACCACGCTTATCTACTTTTTAAATAATAAAAATGAAATAAATATACAATTTTGATATTTAAACAATTGATTGAGTCATTGCAGGTTGAAATTTGGAATATAACAGCACGAAATTCATTCCTTCAACGGGCCCAATATTCTCAAGAGACTAATGGGAAGTGTTTTAACTTACCGTGCTTTAACAAGCAGCACTTCAGCCATGGCACCATAGCTAATGGATCAATCCTGCCCATCTCCTGTGCTCAAGCTCCACACATGGTTCTCATGCCACATGAGAACGTTTTTGTCTGCATGTCATTTCCCAATGCAAATGTTGATAAAAGTCGGTCTTTAGCCAATACTACACCGGCCCCCCTAGAGGCAGTAGTAAGGGATGTACTGGGGTGGGGCCAACGTCATGTATTGAAAAAAGTGGTGCGGCACTTGGAGTTTACAGATGGGGGATATTATGAGGTATGGTCTTAGAGATCGTGTGTCTACTGTGCAATTGCAGGATCTGGCAGAGGTTAAAAGTGGTGGTACTAAGGTGTGGTGATAGAAAGAGCTGAGCTAAGACCACACACGCATACCCTGTGTGCTCCTGCGCGAGAGAAGGGTGACTCTAGGCATTGCTCAAAGCTCCAATTACACTGGAGTCAGTCGATCACATAGGGATAATGTGTTGGGCATCATATTACATTATCCCAATGTTATATTGTACATTACATTATCCCTATGCGATAATGTAATGCAAAGTACATTAGCCATTGCAGTGACTGCTGAGGTGGTAATGGCCATTGCTTTTTCGTGGCTTGTATACATTGATTACCATCACATTACCAACCATGACTGTTATTATTCATGTGCCGTCACTTGTGCTGGATTTGAGAGCTCGGCCCTTTAGGCCTTGCCTAATGCAGGTGGTGAGGCGATGTTTAGGTTGGTAGATGGCAGCACCATTTATTCTGTAACTTGCTATCCACGTGCTGACACAGAATTATATACTCTTCGTTGAATAAAAAAAATGTGTACGTCTGCTTTTAGGCTCATCATAACTACTGTATCATATGAAAATTTACATCTTTTGACTGCAGTCTCCCTAATTCTGTATTAAGTGTTTTTTTTCGAATGCGTAATCCACTTCGAAGCTGTGAATAGCAATCTGTATATGCATAAAATACTTGACAACGAAAATAAATATCTATTCCTGACTATTAAATACGATTTAAATTATTTGTTTACTACAATTGCATAATTAAACATGCCATTTACATGACAGAGACATTCTAATCGTGATGCCAACGGCAACCTAAATGTTCACAATGCAAGTGCCAGAGTTGACAGTCTCATGGACTCACCTCTCGCTTGCTCGGAGCACAAAGGAGGCTGGAACTCTCTTCCTGACCTTCTTTATCGACAGACAAGTGTCAGGGTGAGGTGGAGTTGCATTGTGTCCAGCTTGAAAAGAAAAGCAAATCAAACACGTGATTAATTATTTTCACCGTACACTACACAGCAACCACAATTTCAGATAGCTGTGAACTATGCATGGGTTTACTGACTCGCATAGACTTTCATTTAAGGGTTATTACAACAACATACACATTTATACAGCATCTAAATATCAGTTAATCTGAACAAAACCATTAAAACCAGACGAATCCCAAAATCATGCTGGGAGGTGTTGGTCATTGCAATACTCAAACCCGCCAAGCCAACCGATGACCTGGGAAGCTATTGGCCAATATTACTCATGTGAACGACCTACAAACTCCTGGAACGCATCATCCTCTGGAGGATCAACCCCCTCGTTGAGTCAGTAATCCCTGAAGAACAAGCGGGATGTGTGGACTTGTCATTGGCCGAAAAAACAGCCTAGATTAAGGACTTGATGTGGAAGCTCACAAGGGCCATTCCTTGCCTCAAAACAATCCTCGTGATATGGATGATGCTGATCAATGTCTCACTGCGTGTCTATATGAGCAACAAAGCTAGCTCATCTTGGTCCCTTATTGTATATACAGACGACCCTTCTCCATCGCGACTTTCTACATCGCGGTTTTGATATATCGCGGGGTCGGCATGAGAAATAAAATGGGAATTTTTTTTTGAAGTTTTTGGGAGTTTTTCGAAAGTCGCAGACGACACATGAAGGCCAGCAGATGACACACACAAAGTTTAGTACCGCACAAATGCATCAAATATGTGTAGTGACATCGGGAATGTCACTGTATGGTGCCGGCCTGGGTGGGCCGTGGCATGCGATGTTCTTACGTTGCGGACAGCACCGGGTGGGTTGCTGTGTGATGCCGGCTTTAGCATCGCGTGGAGTGCGATGCACCGTCATCGCATACACCCCGTAGATGGGTGTAGTACCAGCCCTAGTGGGGCGTTGAGCGCTGGGATAGCGCGGGCACCACACATAGCGTATAGTGCGGGCTCCCACAAAGGGGAGCGGGAGAGTGTCAGCCCAGTGACAGGGTTGCCCCGGGCCATGGCACTCTGGTTGACCCCGTAAACACGTGATCTGGAGTGTCCACAGAGAAGGCCCCAGGTGTGGGGGGGTTGATCACGTGTCCAGGGAGAGCTCTCGAGGGGGATTGAGAGGGAGCTAGAATGCTCGAGAAAGTGGGCGGGGCCGAGGGTGGAGCCGACCCCGACCCGGAAAGATATTAGGTGGGTCCCTGAGAGGGACCGGAGTCGCTTCGTTCTACAAGCTGGAAGCTCTACATCCTACGAGGCATAAACACATGGCCGGGGATCCGAGTGAGGGTCCGACCCTTCGTAGCTATAACTCCAACATATAGAGTAGTTATCTGGGTGGTCACCACCCCAGGCTGTATTTGGTAAAGGGGTAGTTACCCCTTTGTATAAACGTGTTATGATAATTGTGTTGCCTCTGAAGAATAACGTCTGTGACTCAGTTGGACTCACTTCAAATGTATAATATGAATGTATTTTATTATTTTAATACCATAAATATACACAATTTTTTATGTTACATTTTGTAAAAAGTTACTTTGCGCGTTGGTTTGGAGGATACCAATCGTATTTATCGCAGCCTCTCACGTGATATCTCACAGCACCCCACCCCCGAACCCCCCAGGCTGGAGGTGCTCGCTTCGCTCACCAAGGGGACCAAATATTTTACTCGGTTTTTCCAGATCGGGGGGGCCTGCACCCCGAACCCCCGTGATGTGAAAGGGTCGACTTAGGGCTGAACGATTAATCGATTTCAAATCGAAATCGCTATTTGAAACAATGCGATTAGCAAATCACAAAGGCTACGATTTTTGCGATTTGAAAAGTCCAGTTGCTTTCTCATTGGAATTGTTTTATTTTTTTATTATTCTAACATTATTTATGTAACTTAATAGTTCAATGTTTGATTGTTCTATTTCAATTAAAACACTTTAATAAATACATGATGGAAGCAATTGATATATTTTAAGGTCTCATCCTTGCATTAAAAGATATAGAGCAGTTCATATTTGATGGTATCATGTGGTAATGCTCCATCGCATGTTTTTAATCTATTACACAGTGAATATTGAACTGAAGCTTGACTTAAAAAATGTAATCGCAAATCACATCACAATCGCAATATTTGTCAGAAAAATCGCAATTAGATAGTGTCCCCAAATCGTTCAAACTTAGGTCGACTGTATGCCTGTTCCAATTTTTTTAAATGCCTTGTCTATTTTGAATGTCGCAGTTCCTGACAGACAAATATGCGTTCCCTGCATGCCGGAAGTCAGGAAAACAATATGATGAAGCCAAAACAGCACTAGAATGAGAAGCGGGTAAGCAGAATACAAGAGACATCGATCAAATGGGTGTGATGAGAATAACCAGAGCTGAGGAGGGCCTGGAAGCCGTAGTATATTTTGCTTCCCAGGAATTAACCTCGTGGAGCGAAGGAGGACGATGTTCATGACAGACCATAGAGAAATAACTCTTGCATGGGCAAGGAGTGACCCAGGGAAATTTCTGAGAGAATATACACAAGGGAGGACCCATGGCAAAACACCATAAACTCGCTGCCCATCCAAGGGCAAATCCAGGGCAAAGAGACGAGAATGTCCCTTGCCGTTTCACTCTCTGAATTAACAAACCCTGGTGCCTGGAAAGTTGAAACGTTCCAATGCCAACCATGCATATGCATATTCTTAAACATCATGGTATTATATATTCTTGATTCTTTCGGTAAAGTCACGTAGAAGGGAAACAATAAAATAATAATATAAAACAATACAATTCTCACGACGTTTCGACTGCAGCACAAGCAATCATCATCAGGTGTGAAAACCACAGTAAGAAAATTTGAAAAAAGTGGCCGTTTTTTCTTAACGTTAGCACCACAAAGAGCGATTTGGCAGTTATTCAGATGGACGAGTCCATCTATGTTCAGAAAAGAGGAGGGAGGAGACAAAAATAATGGATGCGGTCTGAAAGCCACTGTAATCGTGAACAATCAATTAAGACCCGAAATTGTTTATCAAAACCTTCCAATGATTGCTAAGCCAGAATCCATCTCGGTTGAAAGTGTCTCTGTGTTTGTATATGTGGATAGCCTCATGAACGAATCTCTCATGGTAGCCCGATGGCTTGCAGAGAACTTCTGTCTTGGAGAAGTCAATGTCATGTGAGCCTACTGAATTATAACAGTGATCTGCCACAGCCGAGGTGTTGGTCCTACTGTGTTTTAGGTCTGCTTTATGTTCACGGATGCGGTCCGAGACATGTCGTTTGGTTTCTCCAATGTAACTACTATCACAGAAGCAACTTAGTTTGTAGACGCCAGGGTACTGTGTGTCCGGATTCACATCTTTTACAGACGGAACCAGATCACGTATTTTACGTAATGTGTCGAATCGGACCTGGATCTTGTGCTTATTCAAGATTTTGAAGATCTTTTTTGTGATCCCCGCAATGTAGGGCAAAGTGATGGTTTTGAATGGCTCCTCAACAGGGTCATTCTTCATGGTTGGAGTGATAGCTTTGCGGATTGTGTAGTCGGAGTAACCATTAGCCTTAAGAGCTTGGTGTACGTGCTTGAGTTCACTGGCTATGTGTTCCTGGTCGGATATGCACTGGGCTCTAGGGTGCAGAGTCTTGATGAGGGAATTCTTCTGGGATGGATGGTGGTGGGAATCCGGTTTCAGGTAAGCATCCATATGGGTAGCTTTCCTGTAGACAGAGTGGCTCATTGAACCATCAGGTCTCTTTTTACTGTGGTTTTCACGCCTGATGATGATTGCTTGTGTTGCAGTCGAAACGTTGTGAGAATTTTATTGTTTTATATTATTATTTTATTGTTTTCCTTCTCCGTGACTTTACCGAAAGGACCAAGAATATGAATCCCTGCAGTCACGATAGCTTTAAATCAAAATCATGGTATTAAACATTAACTTTGGTGATATGATATGTTGTTAAGTGACAATACAGCACATAGTCAGGGGGTTGTGAATACGACTAGTTACATGTTCTATTAACATCCACTTATCGATACATGAGTGCCATGAGATCTGGGTTAAGCATATAAAGTTGATAATGATGTATGGAAGTTTTATATTGAAGTATTGAACCAAAGGATAATTCAGAAAATATACGTAATCTCCACGACAAAAATAACATGTCATCCAGGGGTATAACCAGAGCCTGCCAACCGCCTTTGTCTTCCCAGTGACTGTCATTGCTTGCTGCAGCAGGAAATTAATTTTAAGGATGAGTCGACCTAACGAGGAAAGCCGTTTCACAATAAACATGGCTACAGACACATAACACGTAGGGGAAATTGAGTGGGTCTGTGCTCACACATACCGTGGGATGACCTCCGAAGAAAGGAGTTTGATAAGGGTTATGACATCAAGCGCCAGGATGTCTGCGGAGAACCAGGGATGATCTCAGGCTGACCCGATGGATGCACCACGTGTGCAAAGGTGGGAGGAGAATGTCGGGCCGTAATGTATATTAGGTCATTAATCGCATGAGCTAGAAATCCTATATAAACAGCACACAATCATATTAGTCGGTTCTGCACTGGCAGACTCCGGGGCTTGCCCTCGTGACTGGCAACAGAGTTTTGTTCCTGTTGAGGCACACGAAGTGTCGCTAGAAGGCTTATGTTACGTTTTTTTCGTCTGTTTTTGGGCCGCTTGCAGAGCCAAGGACTGCGCCTGTAGTGTTGCAATTAGTTGTGTGATAGAAATGTTTTATTGGTAGGAACGAAGTTGTAAACTGAGTGTACCAGCCTGCAATAGATTAATGTGTCCGTCCGTCCCCTTTCAATACTTTAACGAAGTGAAATCTCGTGCTGTTGGGGTGTAAAAATAAAATTGCGCAAAATTCCAATGTTCCTACCAGCCCACCCTGCAGGGACCTGTTAATAAGAGCACTCTAGTGGTGAGGTCGTCTTATACAGCCCTTTTCATGCCACTGTTGTGCGATGGAATTTTCTGTATGATACTGTACTGCACATTCATTGGAAATGGCCTGAAGTGCAACACATACAGGTTTCCCTCGCTTTGTGGTTGTAGATGTGGTCCAAGAAAAAGGGCACACAAACCTAAACCACACAGAACAGCTTACCTGCCAAACAGTTTACACACACAATGGTGTCCCACGTCGGATCACGAAGCTGTATATGAGTGAATTTAAATAGCATATGGAGAATTTTGGGTAGAAATGCATTCGTCCAATATACATATTACACAAACTGAACCCGCATAAAGTGAGAGAACCCTGTACTGACTCGCGGCAACCTTAGTCTACACAGCGTCACTTGTATGTACAATTCTTTGTACACATACACACCTCTCCATGCTCCCTTGCATACTTTGGTGGTTAGATTGTGTCCTGTGTTTAAACTTAAGCATTATTTGTTCACCACAAGTGTACGTGGTTAATGCAGACATGATTCCTTGCAAAGGATGCAGTTAGGTGTTTTAACATCTTAACACCTTTTTTTTGCCAGAAAGGGTAAAATATCTTCTTTTTCCCTGAGTTTTTGTTCTATATTTTTCGTTAATGACCATATCTCCGAGCAATGTCATTGAAGGTAGCATGCACTGTTATTGGCATATCAGTAGATAATGCGTTTGATAAATGAAGACTATTAAGGGAGTTGCTAATGTTGTGTTTGGGCTATGGATAGTATTATAAACCAACATCAAGGTTAGCATAAGTGCAAGTGTTCAGGCAAGATTCATGTCTGACATATTTTCAAAACGTTATTTTTTTTGCCTAGATTGTAATAACCTATATTTCACTATTGTGGTGTTTGCATGCAGTCCAAAATTACAGGGCCATTTGTTCAAGATATTTAACATCACTAACCCATAGACATTAACATGCATTTTAATATGGTATTCTTTTTTAAACATAGCCTGTTAAAATATCTGATGTACAATAGCGATCCTGTATTAACCACACATAGTCTATACAATGTACGTTCTCACATCTATGCCGTATCTAATTTACCTGTAACTGATTTCAATAGTTTTAGCCTATTACAGGCCAATGTGCAGCTGACTTGCATCTCTTATAATACTCACGATGTTCAGGTGATGGAGAGTCGTAGGGCGCAAGTAATTCGCTCCGTCTCTTCTGCTCTGCATTCACCCCGGCTTTATATTCAGATTCACAAAAAGGTGGAGCTTCCCAGACTCCACCCAGTGCTTGATAATAACGAATGCGTGTTTGCCTGTGTGTGAGAGACAACGCGTGTGTGGACGTGAAAGAAAGATTGTGAGCGTATGCCCTTTGAGTTGTTAAATACTGCATGTTACCTAGGCAGTGAGGATAGCGTATGAAGAAATAGTCTATCGAGGAGTCGGACAATGAGATATAGTTTCCAAATTATACTAAGGCTCTCAAAGCACTAAAATTTAAATCATACACTAACTTGTTATGCATATATGTGGAGCATCATGGGCGAAAGGACAAATAAGCATAACTTCATTCTATATCCACATATAAATAGAAAAATAGTTTAGTCCATCGACCGTTTATTTTTCCAGGGGAGCATCAATCACCAAGCAGCATTTGCAAGCAGTCAAACTACAGACTCGTCTCGATGTGCTAATCATATCCAGTATTTCTGATTTTTTTTCATCTCAAATCTATATTTTTGTGAGCTTTTCTTACTTGGAAAGCATCCCACTGTTTCAGAAGAAAGCAAGACAGCCAACACCACATTTAGAGTCTCAAAGTGCACCTTGCCTGGCACAGGCGCCGTGGTGACGTCGCCGTCACTTTGTGGCGAATGGCGGATATTGGTATTGGTGTGTGCGGAGCGGTAGTGTAGCGGTGAGCGCACTGCGCTACAAAGGTGGCGACCCGAGTTCGATTTTTGCTCACGGCTATCATCAGTGCCTGGGTGTGGTGTGTAAACATCGCCACTGGGGAGACAAAGGGGGCCGGGTGTGGTGTTGGCCACCCACTCCCTCGTGTGCCGTGCCGGCCTTCATAGGCGCTGCTCACTAACATCACTTGCCCCTATAGCCTGTTAAGGCTACACGGGGGATCATTGTCGTCGCGGTGTGTGTCTCTGTGTGTGTCCCTGTCAGTGTGTGGGTATCTCTGTCTTTGTGTGCGTGGGTATCTCTGTCTGTGTGTCTCTGTGTGTGTGTGTGGGTATCTCTGTGTGTGTCTGTGTGGGTGTCTACAATTGTGGTAACTCATTGCCCCCCTTTTGACTAGTATCAGGACTCAAGGTATTATGGAAATAAAAGTGTTTTATGTTACTTTATTTCATGATTTATTTGATTTAATATACAGTATTTTTATTGTGTTACATGTAAAAGTACCATATTCGTAATTGTGAGTTGGACAGTGCTTCCCGTTCTGTTGAACCTCAGCATATTTCTTAACACTGACCATATGGTCATTTAAATACAGTGGATTATTGTGTCCCGACACACGAACCGTGCGAGTTATGGACTGGTCTCAGGAATGCATGTGGTTCGTAACCCGAGGACTGCCCGTATTCCTTCATGACTGATTAAAAACATACAATTATTTCCTAAACAGCAGCATATCTGCTTCCACCCCTGATTATCATGGTTGGCTTCATACGGTGCAAAATATTTTCAACATAAATAAAATCAGTCTGTACCACAGTCTGTCAATCAGTATCAAATATTCCTGAACGCTTGGTTTATAATATTGAAAAAATATCAGTCCTACTTTTATAAAATGTTATTTTTTAAACTTTATACAAATGGATGCCACCATGCATGCATACCAGTTTTCCATTTGTTATTTGCTGAAGTGGTAGCGAATGTATGGATGGATGTGCGTGTGCTGTCTCAGAACTAGTGGTTTGTCCCGAATCATGTTAAAATGTTCTTGACATTTGCCATGCCATTATTTTTTTTAAAGCTGTTTTGTTAAGATTGCGTAAAAAAGATTCCACCCCTCCTGTCTTGCCTTTACAATACATTCCTCCTTGCAATCACGTGTCAACATGTTTTACCCTGGCCGCTGTTAAACAATCCAGTTTTTTTTTCCATTTTTGCTTGCATTGTGACTTTCATAGAATCTTAAATATGCCAGTGCCTTCCATCAAATGTCTCTCAGATTGTAGTCTTTTTCCTTACAGGTGCATTTTATTATACACTCTTGTACGTAAGTAGGCAGATGTTGCTCATTTTAAAGTGTTTTGTTCGCATATGTGATCACCTGCATTTGTACATTTGATTTAATTTTCATTGTTACATTTTCTCGTAAAACCCTTTTGAGATGTGTGTAAGCATCGAACTACTTACTTTGAAAGTAAAAACGCGTTAATCTTCACACGTATATACATTGGGATTTATAATGTTTGACTCTAGACAACCACTCATTGCAGTTTCCCTGATGTGCGTATTCGGCTGTATGACAGCATATCGTGAATGACTGAACACTTTACTCACACCGAATTCCTTTAACTCATCATCGTTTAAACTTTTCTGAAAACTTGAGCAACCTTTTGTACCCTTTAATTTTGTCAAAGTACGTGTAAAATATATATATGCAAATTATGCATTTTGTTAACGGAATTGTGCATTTTGAGCTAGGAATAATTTCAAGTGGTGGAGGGAGGGAAGGGAGTCGATCCTAAGTTGAGAAGCAAAGGCATCCCAGGAACATGGGGCAGCAGGGTAAAAGAGGTCACAAACTCTACTTTGAATCGTTTGTATTACAGTAAGAATATGGATGCACATCTGATGCTGTGACTGAGTTAAGAGGTCCTGTAGATATTGGGTGGATTTGTTTAAAAGCGCTTTTAGAATGAAGACTGCCCTGTGGCAGTGTTTTAGGATGTCAAGGGTGGTCAAATTCCAAGTGATATAGAGTTTGCTATGATGAGTTCTTTTGTAGGAATGAAGGACAGAGTGGAGGGCAAACCGTTTAAAACCATTGCTAACTGCCTTCACTCGTCCCTAGCGCACGCGTCACTCCGCCAAGAGAAAGTCAACAGTGGCCTTCACGATGCAGGTGGGGGAGGGACGCGCGCCACAGAGGGCGCAAGTCCACCACCGCAGTTCACCTCACCAGCATTTGTGTCGCCAGGGCACCGACATTTGATTTTTGAGAATTAACTTTAAAGCATTATTCAACAGTTGTAGATAATCAAAGGGCTGTTGTAGCCCTAGTTGTAAATCGTTAAACTTGTTTCGCACCATATGTAGCCAACCACACTCATCAGAGGTTCGGGGGAAGGACAACAAACTGAACACAAAGCAGTTCTTAAGAAATTTGCTTCCCATCTTGATTTAAAATTGCATAGTTCCAGTTGCTTCCTCATGTCAGAAGGAAGATCGTTCCAGATGGACAAAGACGTGCATCTGAACGCATACGATTGCGGTGACCGTCTTTGTTCAATGGTCAGTCAAAATCCACTGCAAGGATGAGCAGAGTTCACGTGATGGTTCATGATCTTTGACGAGATCAGAAAGGTTTCATTGCACATTTGTGGAAATAATTTTGTGTGTAATGGCATCAAACTTATAATGCATTCGTTTGGCAACCGAAAGCCAATGGAGCTGGGTGAGCACTGGATGGACGTGGTGTGATCTTGCAGTACCCGTCATGACACGTGCCAACAAATTTTGTACAGGCTGCAGCTTTATAATGTTTTTGCCATTGTCTCGTAGAGTTGCAATTATCAAACCTTATCGCTACGATACTACACGCCACCGTGTTGGCTATGTCATAACTCAATGGTAGTCGAATGAGTTGTAGAGCCATGGAATGAAACTTGCAGGACTTGACTATTTCGTACGTGGAGATCATACAACATATTCTGTATCGAGAATGGTGCCGAGGCTCTTTAGATTAGTAGACAACTGAATCCTGACGTCTGCAACCACCACACCTGGTCCGCCCAAAATCTTTTTTAACCTGAGCCTGAATGCAGCAGCGGGAAATAAGCATATTGATGTCACTTGATGACATCGGCGATCGGAGAGACTTCTGTTAAAAATAGGAAGGACCTGAGGACAGACCCCAATGGTGCACCAACCGGATTGGTACTGACCTTTTTCAAGTTAAATGTAAAAATTAACGAATTCACTTCTCCAAAAAGACCACACTCAGCCAAGACTGTAGCTAAGTGTAGAAATGCTCACGTCTTACATTGCACTACTAGACAGTGTGCAAAATCTTCCCATTATATTTAAACCTGAACAAACTTTTCCCATATCTTAATTCTGCAGGGCCCTATATCTCCACCTGAGTAAAATCTCCCACATCCAATATTCCTTGCCAGATCTGTCACTCAAGACCTTCCCCCATGTTGTCATCACATTTGGACTGATCTACACAACTCTATCCTCTAGAGTTTGCACTAATCCATCATCTCAGGGCTCCCAATAATATTGAAACATAATGACAATTTATAGAGTGCCTTTACATGGGCTATCTGAACAAACAACAAACAAATGAATCACGAGTCGTTCGGCAATTGAAGTGAGAAATATATGTAGTGTCATTTATAACTTTAGAAAGGTGAGTTTTTGAGTGGGATATTGAATGATGACAGCTTGAAAATGCAGTGGCAGACTGTTTCTAGCCGACAAGAGCAAAGGTGTGGTCCCTAAACACGATGGACTGCATTCCTAGCGAATGCCTTCAAGGCACTTGTCCATTTCAGAATCTATAAAAGTCACAATGACGTACGGGCGAATGGATGACACCAGATTACGAGACAGCACGCACACACACAATCACATGCATTTCTTTCAGAGGCGAGGCCAGGAGTTTTAAAGATGATTTATGAAGATTGTGAGGGTATGCCCTTTGAGTTGTTGAACATTGCATGTTGCCTCAGCAGTGAGGATAGCGTATGAAGGAGTCTCTCGAGGAGTCGGACAATGAGATATAATTTCCAAATTATACTAAGGCTATCAAAGCACTTAAACTTAAATCATACACTAACTTGTTTTGCATATATGTGGAGCATCATGGGCGAAAGGACAAATAAGCAAGAACTCCATTCTTTATCCAAATATAATTAGAAAAATAGTATAGTCCATCGACCGTTTATTTTTCCAGGCGAACATCAATCACCAAGCAGCATTTGTAAGCAGTCAAACTACAGACTGGTCTCGATGTGCTAATCATATCCAGCATTTCTGATTTTATTTTTGTCTCAAATCTGTATTTTCGTGAGATTTTCTTGCTTGGAAAGCATCCCACTGTTTGAGAAGAAAGCAAGACAGCCAACCACACATTTAGAGCCTCAAAGTGCACCTAGCCTGGCACAGGCGCCGTGGTGACGTCATGGCGGCTCATACTCAAATGAGTACCTGGTGTGGTGTGTAAACATCGCCACTGGGGAGACAAAGGCAGTCGGACGT